ATAATTGAAAATTGAATTCTTTTGATGAATTTTAATAATGTTTTTAAGAATAATTACATTTTTGAGGAATTCGATGAAAATTGTATTAAAAATAATTGTATTTTGCAATGAGTTTTATTATTTATGAAAATAATTAAATATTTGAGTAGAATTTTATCAAAAATTATTTTTAAAATTTATGAAAAATATGTAAATAATAGAAATGCAGTGAAATTTTTATTATTTTATGAAAATAATTAAATGTTTGCGTAGAATTTTATTAGAATTTTTTGTAAATAATTGAATTTTTTTGGAAAATTTTATTAAAAATAGTAGATATTGGAAATCATTGAATTTAGGAAAATTTTTGAAAATTTTTGAAAATAATTGAATTTTAGAGAAGATTGTAACAATCTTTGTTCTTTACAAAGATATTTTAAATTTTCGCACGAATTTAAAAAAAATTTTAAACATAATTGAATTTCTGCATTCGGTTGTAACTTCCCAAAAATTCAATTTTTTTTTGTGTTTTTAACTAAAATTCTTCTCTAAATTAATTCTTTTTAATAATATTCAGAGAACTCCTTTCTAAATCAATTATTTGTAACAATTAAATATAAACATTAAAAAATTTAACTAATTCAAAATAATTTGAATTAAAAATTAACGATAAACTAAGTTCAACAAAATTTCTAATTAAATTCATTTAAAATTGAAATTTTCAAAAATTTCAAATGGAAACCTTTTGAAATTCAATTATTGATGAAAATTTAAATATAACTTTTATAAAATTCAATTATTTTTAAATTTTTATGTAAAATTATTAATTAATTATTAATTAATTATTAATTAATTTATAAGCAATAATTTTGCAATTTATCTTCAAGAATTAAATTGTTTTAAATAAATTCAACTTGATATGTTGTAAACTTGAAATATTGTGTCAGAAATAAAAAAATTTGAGAAAAAAATTTGTTTTTGATTTCAGTTTATAAGCCAAACAAAAAGAAATTTAAATAGAATTCTTTTTAATATTTTCAAAGTTTTCTAGAAAGAAAAAATTTACAATTTTCTCATGAAATCTAAAAATTTAATTTTTACAATATTTTTAATAAAATTTTCTGTCTTTTCTCGATTTCCCTGACTAATTCTACTCTCCCAGAACTGTGACAATCCTGATTCAGTAGTGAAACATATTTAAAGACAGACAAAACGATTTAAATTCCCATCGCCGAGTTATGAGTAGTAAAGCAACGTTTTAGTCAGACTGAATATGAATTGTTTTGTCATTTTATCGACAGTAGTAAAAGTGTATTGCATATTCAGACTTTTCAAATTTTTTCCACTTCCTGTCAGTTTGTAAAAAAAAAAAGTGAAAAATATTTTATTAATTTCCATTTCAGTAGGTAGTAAAAGCCGTATGTGACTTTTAAACTCCAACATATATGGAATTTTACAGTAAATGTTAAATTGTTCCACTCAAAAAGTATATTTATTATATATAAGCGTTTTCCTGAAAACTATATTCAACACGTTTCACATATGTTAGTCTTTTTATTTTTATGAACACGTTTCCTGTTTGCGAAATCTGTTGAGGGAGTAAAACATAATGGCATCACAAATAATTATTGCTCTCGATCGTTTGAACGTATATCAGCATTAAAAACAACCAATCAGCAATCTCATTGTTGTCTCATGAAAAAAAGCGCAGTTTTCCTCTGAATCACACGGTAATTCTCACTTTCCTCGATGTTGTGAATTTGAATTTTTGCACGAATTGAACATCAATTACGACTTTATCTGCGAACGAAAATGCCTCTCGTCCTAGGAAACTGCACTAACGAACTTTCTCCGGCCAATTCGTAGTAATTTTTTTTTAGCTCAAAAAAACAAGTTTTCGCAAACAAAAAAAAATTAGTAAATTTAATTTGCTAAATAGAAAAAATTTGTATTTTTGTCACTTTGCTACTCGAAATTCCACGCTGGTTAATAAATGGCAGGCTTCGCACTCATCTACAAAAACCTACTATTTACTACTTTTTTACATTTTTCTACTATTTGGGTACTTTTTTTAGATTTCAGCCACTAAAAACTACTATTTCTGTTTTTTTTTTAACATTTCCACTACTTTAAATTCACTAATACTAGAAATCAAAAAAACTATTCTTAAAAATGATAATCAAATTCTTTAAAACAATTCAATTATTTTAAAAAAATATTCGAAATTCAATTATTTAAAAATAATTGATATAATTCATCTTCTTAGCAACTATTCAATTATTTTCAAAAATTATAAAATTCATCGCAGGATTTCAATTATTTTTAACACAATTTTACAGGAATTGCTCAAAAAATGTAATTATTCTTAAAAATTTAATTTCAATTCCTCGAAAAAATCAATTATTTAAAAAAATGTTTTTTTTAAATTTTTAAAAGAATTCAATTATATACAAAAATATTAGAATTTTTCACAGGAATTCAATTATTTTCAAATATTTTCCTAATTAAATTTTTTTGAAATAATTCAATTATTCTTTTAGATTTTAATGCAATTTTTCAAAATGCTTTTTAGGAATTCAATTATTTTCACAAATAAAGTTATCCATGAGAATTCAATTATTTAAAATAAAATTTTTATAATATTTATTATATTGCGCAGAATTAATTATTTAAAATAATGATTATAAAATTCTTAATTATGAAGAATTTAATTATTATTAAAAATAACAAAATTTTTTATAGAAATTCAATTCTTTTTAAACATTTCAATAAAATTTTTTGAAATAATTCAATTATTTTCATAGATAATAAAATTCTTCTCAGGAATTCAATTATTTTTGAAAATTTCAATAAAATTCTTTTGCAAAATTTCACAGGAATTTAATTATTTACAAAATTTTTAATAAATTTCTTCAAAATAATTCAATTATTTTCATAAGTAAAAAAATTTTCACAGGAATTCAATTATTTAAAATACAAAATTTCATAAAATTTTTCAAAAAATATAACTTATTTTAAAAGATTTTTATAAAATTCGTCACAAGAATTAAATTATTTAAAAAAATTTAACAAAGTTCTTTTCAAGAATTCAATTACTTTTATAAATAATACAATTCTTCACCGAAATTTAATTATTTTTATAAACTTGAATAAAATTCGTTGCAAGAATTCATTTATTTATATAAATAATAAAATTCTTCACAGAAATGCAGTTTTTTTTTATTTACTTGAATCAAATTCGTTGGAAAAATTAAATTATTTTCAAAAATAATAAAATTCTTCGCAGAAAAAAAATCAATTATTTTAAATACAATTTTAATTAAAATTTTTTGAAATAATTCAATTATTCTTTTAGATTTTTATAAAATTCTTCACAAGAATTGAATTATTTACATAAATAATTCTTCGAAAGAATTTAATTATTAAAGATAAATAACAAAATTATTCCCGAAATTTCTATTATTTTGAGGGATTTTAATAAAATTCTTTGCAAAATTCAATTATTTTTAAAAATAACAATATTCATAACAAGAATTCAATTATTTTTAAAAGTAATAAATTTTTTCTTGGAAATTCAATTATTTAAAAAATTCTAATAAAATCGGTTGCAAGAATTCAATTATTTTCATAAATAATAAAATGCTTTTTAGGAATTCAATTATTTTTAAAAAAAATTTAATAAAATGCCACACAGACATTCAATTATTGTCAAAAAATTTAATAGAATTCTTTGTAAAATTTAATTTATTTTTAAGAACTTTTCGCAATTCTTAATGATTTTCAATATTTACTGTTTTCATAAAATTTCCAATCAGAATTCAATTATTTAAAAAATTTCTTCTACAAAATCTTCGTAAGAATTCAATTTTTTTCATGAATAATAAAAATTTGTCATGAATTCAATTATTTAAATTAGCATTTGCATAAAATTAGTCAAGAGAAAATTTAATAATTTTTATAAAATTCTTCGCAAAAGAATTAAATTATTTTTATAAATATTTAAATTCTCTCATGAATACTAAAATTCGTTTGCAAAAATTCAATTTATTAGCAGTAGGATTAGAAGCAAGTAAATATTTTTGATGAAAATTAGGAAAAAAGTCAGGAAAATAAAATATAGAATAGAATTTTTGTCAAGTTTGTGAAGTGACTAAAACGAATTCTTTTGGTCGTCAAAGTTAATTTTTCGATAGCTAATTTTTTACTACTTTTTTTAGTTTGAAAGCAACTTTTTTAAAATTAATTATCTAGTGCGAAATCTGAAGTGGTTATTAACTATGTAAAAATTGATAAAAGGAAAAAAAGTTAAATTCTAAAAATTTAATCCTACAACAATATATAATGAAAACGCGTCTACGATGTGAAAAGAAAGTTTTATTTGCAGATAATTCTGTAATTCAATATCGGTAATCAGCATATAAAATTTATATTCAATAAATTCAAAGACAGACTAAAAAATATTTCTTCCTAAATTAAGACTCTAAATCTGCCTTCAAATAAAACTCGTTAATTTTATATCGACAATTTATTTTCAAGTGAAAAAAATCACGTATTTTACAAATTAAAACAGATCTTTTCTTGGATAAAGGACATTTGAGATATTCAACAGAAATTTAAATTTTAATTCCGATTTACAGAGTGAGTGGGTATGCTAAAAATACATTCCTTTACAAATTTATAGGGAATGTAGACGTTATAGATATTTTTCGGGATTAATTAAAACATTACTTTCATTCTGAAAATATTTAACCGACCACATAAATGGTTTCTTCTCTCACGTTCGATATATGTCTGCGCCCTGTATATAATATCCGAGAAAGCTATACGAGCAGCTCAGTACAAGTACCTCATAATCTCCGGGTATAATCCATTGTCAACCACTTATTTACTCGGAAAAGAAGTTTCCGCTAATCCGAAAGTTATTTCGCAAAAAAAAAGAGAAGAGAAAAAAAAAGATCCATATCGAAAAAAAAAATTGTGTCACGTTATAAGATTCATCATAAGGTTTCATGTCTACTTACGGTTTCTCGTTTCTTCCGGGCTGCCTCCAGAATGGATTGGAACCATTCCCATTGGCCGAGGGGGTCACTCGAATTGTCAGTAGCAGCAGTGTTAGTAGAACGTTGTGGTACACGATTATCGATCACAGAACCGACATTCAACCATAAATTTGTATTGAGAAAAATGAGCCGGTAATTCTCCTTCCACTGCTCGATCGTGTAGAATCCAGCTGAAACAAATTTAGGGGATCATAAATTTAACATTTGGCTCGGTAGGATTACAGAAATACACTTCTCGTTTATGGCTGGTCACGTAGAGAGAGAGAGAGAGAGAGAGAGTTCGTTGGCGGTGAATTCAAAACCAATTGAAAATAATTCCCGTTTTAGTTCGCATGCATTTTTCAAACACGAGAATATAACGCTAAAACACGTATTTCGCTTTTGGACTTTCTTTCTAAATAAAAATATTCGCCCCTTGAAATGAATAAAAACCTGTCCTCTGAATTTACATCAGAGTTTATTTATATAGGGAATTTAATATGACGCCAAGAAAAGTTTTTTTAAAACTTTAATTTTAACATATAACTTTGAGAATTTTACATATTTGCACTTTAAGAATCGGGGATTTGGAAGAAAAGTTATGTTTATAAATTTTATATTATAAAACAAGGACTTTTTTTCGGATGGTAACCCCTTAACACACAAGGGTCACAAAAAACAGGCATTGTTACTAATTTATTAATTATTGCAACTACAGAACGACTTGAAATTAGGAGTACTCGCATTTGCCTGGATTGGATTGCCTGTCTATTGGATTTTCTCTCGCCGGAGGTGAGAGGAACTGTAGCAAATCTCTCCCGAGTAGAACCGGTATTATCGACAGTCGAGTTCTAATGGTGTGTACTGGACAATAATTGACAGTGCATATCATTATGTACTTCGACGTCAAACCTCCCACAGTCCCACTTAAGGAAATGTTATTCAGTGGTCAGGTGTTACCATAGTAAAGTATCTGGGACACGTGATCACTGAATAACGTGAACTTAATAGTTTGCTCTTCGCCATTAGGAACACATTTGAATTAGCGAAAACGCCGCCAAAAAGCTTCGAGTCGAAACGTGGTCACCAAGTATTATCAGGGTTGCCACAAGGTCAGAAAAGTCAGGGCCTTCGGGAAAAAGTCAGAGAAAGTAAAATTGGTCAGAAAAATCAGGGAAAAGTCAGGGATTTTTAGTAAAAGTACTGGAAAAAATTGAATTTTTAAAATTCATAAAAAAAACCTCCGAATTTTGATGTTTTTCTGTTTGCCTCGTAAACTATAAAATTATCCCGAATTTTAATACAAGACCTTAAATTTTTTCTATTTCTAGCCAATTATTCCTTTTTGAATAACTTAATTTTTCAAGAACTATCATAAAATTATCATTTATAAATTATTTATTAATAAATAATTTTTACAATTGTCATAAATACTAAATTATTAGAAGAATTATAGTTATAAATACTAAAAAAAATATTCAATTTTGGAAAAGTTACAAATGATTCCATAAATTCAATTATTTTCAAAAGTTATAAAAATTCTTCGCAGAATTTCAATTTTGTTCAAAAATTTAAAAAAAAATTCTCGTCAAAATTTCAATTATCTTTATAAATAATAAAATTCTTCATCGAAATACAATTATTTTTTAAAATTTTAATAAAATTCTTGGCAAAATTTCAAAGGAATTCAATTATTTACAAAATTTTTAATAAATTTCATCGAAATAATTCAATTATTTTCATAAGTAATAAAATTTTCACAGGAATTCAATTATTTAAAATACAAATATTTATAAAATTTTTCGAAAAATATCAATTATTTAAAAAGATTTTTATAAAATTCGTCGCAAAAATTCAATTATTTAACAAAATTCAACAAAGTTCTTTTCAAGAATTGAATTATTTTTATAAATAATAAAATTTCCACAAAAATTCAATTATTTTTATAAATAATAACATTCTTCACAGAAATTCAATTATTTTCAAAAGTAATAAAATTCTTCGCAGAATTTCAATTTTGTTCAAAAATTTAAAAAAAAATTCTCGTCAAAATTTCAATTATCTTTATAAATAATAATACTCTTCATCGAAATTCAATTATTTTTAAAAATTTTTATAAAATTCTTGGCAAAATTTCACCGGAGTTCAATTATTTACAAAATGTTTAAAAAAGTTTCTTCGAAATAATTCAATTATTTTCACAAATAAATAAAATTCTTCTCTAAAATTCAATTATTTTTTAAAATTTTAATAAAATTCTACTCAAGAATTTTTTTTGAATTATTTTTTGAATTTTTAATAAAATTCTTCTCGAGAATTCAATTATTTTCAAAAATAATCAAATTCTTCTTAGGAATTCAATTATTTTAACAAATAAAGAAATTTCTTCGCAAGAATTCAAATAGTTTTAAAAATTTTTATAAAATCCTTCTTAAGAATTCAATTATTTTTAGAAATTTTAATAAACTTCTTCTTAAGAATTCAATTATTTATATAAATAATAACATTCTTCACAGAAATTGAGTTATTTTTGTAAACTTGAATAAAATTTGTTGGAAGAATTAAATTATTTTCAAAAGTAATAATATATAATAATAAATAGTAATAGAAAATAATAAAATTCTTCATCGAAATTCAATTATTTTAGAAAAATTTTAATAAAATTACTCAAATTCTTGACAAAATTTCACAGGAATTCAATTATTTACAAAATTTTTAATAAATTTCCTTGAAATAATTCAAATCTTTTCACAAATAAATAAAATTCTTCTTTGGAATTCAATTAGTTTTTTAAAATTTTAATAAAATTCTGCTCAAGAATTTTTTTTTGAATTATTTTTTGAAATTTTAATAAAATTCTTCTCGAGAATTCAATTATTTTCAAAAATAATCAATTTCTTCTTAGGAATTCAATTATTTTAACAATTGAAGAAATTTCCTCGCAAAAATTCAAATAGTTTTAAACATTTTTTATAAAATAAAATTCTTCTCCGAAATTTAATTATTTTAAAAAAAATTTTAATACAATTCTTGGGAAAATTTTAATTATTTTTATAAATAATAAATCTCATCACAGGATTTTAATTATTTCTCATACAATAATTAGAAAATTTTCTTTTATTTTGATCAAATTCCTCGAAAAATGTAATTATTCTTAAAAATTTTATTAAAATTTGTCAAAAGAATTAAATTATTTAAAAGTTTCTGTTAATAAAATTCTTTATGAGAATTTAATTTTAACAAACATTCAATTATTCAATAAATTATTTATTTTATAATTTGAATAATTGAAGTTTTCTAGAATTTTCCAATAAACGTTGTTTTAAAAATGAATTACCGAATAATCGATTTATTATTTATTAAAATCCATTGAATTATTGCAACGAATTTTATTACATTTTTCATATAATTGAATTTTTTGGAGAAATTTTACTACTTGTGGAAATAATACAAATAATTGAATTCTTGCGAAAGATTTTATAAGAATTTTTGTAAATAATTAACTTTTTTTTGTAAAATTTTATGGTAATTTAAATTATTACAAAACATAAAGAAGACGTTTTGACGTTTTGACTTTATGTTTTGTAATAATATTCTTATAAGTTGTTGAATTTTAAAAAGGTTTGATTTTGAATGTTTTGAAGAATTTTAATTCCTACAGAAAAATAATAATGATTGAATATTTATTTAAAATAAAAGTTATTGTTATTTTTGAATAATTTTACTTTTAGAGAAATTTGCAAATAAATGTAATAGAACATTTTTTTGAGTATTTAATAATTTTTAGAGTGAATCAGAATATTCTTTAGGGTCATGGAAAAATTGAACATTTTGTACATAGCGCCATATTTTCAAGACCAAAATCTTGCTACTGTCCCGAGGGTCCGACAGTAGGTCACCGAATCAAGACATTTTATCATTTATCATTTATATGTTTTATGGTTATTTATGCTATACCAAACCCCACATAACTTTCGAGTGCAGAATCCAAGTTATTTGTAAGCCTAAGAATCATTAGGAAATTCGGACAATTCCTAAAATCTTGCGATATTTCCAAATTTCCTAAGCATTTCCGGGAATTCCCCAGGCATTTCGCGAAATTCCCATGGCGATTTAGACAAATTGGAAAGCTCTCTGTTGAAAATTTTTGCAACCATTGAGAGTAGGTCGGTTTGTCTAATTTTTTGTATGCCTAGCTTTCGCAAATCAGCGTGCCTTTTTTTAACTCAGTGGCGAAAAATGGCACTACTAAAAGTAGGTCAAATGATTAAACCACGCCCCCAAAAGAGATCCCAATAACTTAATTTTTTCCTCAAGTTAAGTGATCAATAACTACGTATTGATAAATACTTTTCTCGTAAAGAATATTTTTTAATTTCTCAATTCTAATTAGATGATATTTTTGGTTCACAATTTCTAATTATATTGATTTGCAGTGCCATTACTAATATAGTTGGAACAAGTAGGGTACGGTGTTCATTCACTCATTTCTGCTTGCAGCACAGCAGCAACCATTACCTCTAATTACATTAAATTGCTTCGCTCTATCGCTTAAAGTGCATTTGACTTAGCTTTGAAGCCTAAATTATACGATATGCATATCGTGTCAAATGTAATATAAAAATTCCCAACCCAAACCCATCGACGTAATAATATGGCGGAGGGGTTAAAATGAAAATATGTAATTTGACTCGCAATTAGTGATGAAGAAAGATTATACTAACTATTCTTGAAGGTGCTGAGTGCTTCTTGTGGAAGCCAATGCTTCCAAAGATTCGCAAGCTGTGTGAAATTCAAACCAAGATCTTCGTGTCCCAGAACGGGGAACACAAATTGCTCAGTGAAAGTGTGAGACAGAAGATCCGTCAAATTCTTGAGACTTTGTAAGCGCAATTCCTCGCTCATTCCCGCTGCATGCGATAAAGCATCTCTGTAACAAATAAATGAAAAGAAACTAACTTTTACACTTGTTGAATTTTCTCTGATTCAATTGTAAAAAACTTGTCATTTCATACGGTTCTTGTCATAGTCTCTTTTTTTTTTTTTTTTGCATAAACAGGATTGCAACAGTTCAGGAAAATCAGGGAAAAGTCAGGAATTTTTATTAACCTTTAGAGGGCCGGTAAATTTGCACAAATTTAAGTAGTTTTTTTTATTTAAAAAATTTAATTCAATTCGAAATTTAAGTCAATTCGAAAAAAAGATTCGTCAAAATAAATGGTGGCCACTACAGTCATTATTTTTAGGAATTAAAAAAAAAAATTTGTCAAAATTCAATTATTTACAATTTTTTTTATAAATTTCTTCGCAATTATTTCAATTATTTTCATAAAATAATAGAAATTTTACAGAAATTCAATTATTTACAAATTTTTTTATAAATTTCTTCGCAATCATTCAATTTGTTTTCATAAATAATAAAATTTTTACAGGGATTCAATTATTTTCGTGAAGAATAAAATTCTTTTCAGGAATTCAATTATTTTCATAAATAATAAAATTGATTGCAGAATTTGAATTATTCTTAATACAATTTTAATCGAATTCCTCGAAAATGTAATTATTCTTAAAAATTTTATTGAAATTCCTCAAAAGAATTCAATTATTTAAAAATTTATTAGAAAAATTCTTTATGAGGATTCAATTTTAGGAAAAATGGAATAATTGAATTCTAGTAGAATTTTGAAGAGGTTTCAAATTAAATATTTGAAAATCTGAATTTTTCATATTTTTAACTAACAATTCTGTGAAATTAATTTTTTTGAGAAAGTTTAATTGCGGATTTTTTTTTTAAAATTATATAAAGTTTTTATTTTCCAATATATATTTAATTGAAGAATTTACAAATAATTAAAATTTTGTCAAATTGAATTGTAAGCAAATAAATTTGAAAATTTTCAAAGAAATTTTATAATAATTATTTAAAGTAATGCATTTATAGAAGAATTTTAGTTAAAAACAAGAAAATTTCTCGAAAAATGCAATTACTCTTAAAAATTTGATTAAAACTTGACGAAAGAATTCATTTTCAAGAAACATTCAATTATTTACTAAAATAATAAAATTCGTTGCAATCATTCAAATATTTTAATCATAATAACTTTTAATTCGTCGCAGAAAATCAATTATTTCTAAAATTTTTTAAGTAATTCTCCAGAAGAAATCTAATTATTTTGATAAACAACAAAATTCCTCCTGTAAAATCAATTATTTTCAGAAATTTTAATAAAATTCTTCACCAAAACTCAATTATTTTGATAAATATAAAAATTCATTATAAGAATTTAATTCTTTTGAAAATTAATAAAACACTTTGCAGAAATTAAGTTATTTTCAAAAGTTTTTAAAAATTCTCGTCAAGAATATTAATTATCTTTATAAATAGATAGCAAAATTCTTCTCAAGAATAAAATTTTTGACAAAAATTTTAATAAAATTCTTATTGTCAAAAATTTCAATTATTTCAACAAAATTGAATAAAATTCTTCGCATGAATTCAATTATTTTCATAAATTTATTATTTTAATTCTTCTAAGGAATTCAATTATTTTTCAAAAATTTTAATAAAATTCTTCAAACAGTTTTAAATTATTTTCAAATATTGTTATAAAATTCTTTAATATAATAAATTTCAGTAAAATTTTAAATTAAATATTTTCAAAAGTTATTAATAAAACTCATCGTAAAAATTGAATTTTAAGAAACATTCAATTATTAAAACAAATTATTCATTTTTGCTATTATACAAATCTTTAAAAATCTGAATTTTTCGTACTTTTAACTAACAATTCTAAAGAATTAATTTTTTTTGAAAAATTTTAATTTAATTTTTTTAAAATTATTTCAAGTTTCGATTTTCTATTATATATTTAATTAAAGAATTTTCGAATAATCGAAATTTCACGTGAAATTAAATTATATAAATGTATTTAAATATTCTATAAGAACTTTTTCAAAAATTATCAAAAATAATTGATTTAAAGTAGAATTTTAATTCAGAATTCTAGAAAATGTTAATTTTACAATTAACAAAATTTTTAAATAAATTTAATCGAATATTTTTCTCAGTATCTAATTATTTTTAGAGTAAATTCGAATATTCTTTAGGGTCAGGAAAAAATGTCAAAATTCTGTCTGGAAATTAGGGAAAAAACAATATTAAATTTTTGTGGCAACCCTGATTAATACAATATTAATAAACCAAATGGAAAATAATAAAACACAATTTAAACTAGGACTGGGTGACCCAGCTGGTCAATAATTTGGTTATTATTGCCCTAGAGTAATAATGGGGTACTTTATTGTCCTTGGGTAATAATGCGGTACTTTATTGCCCAAGGGCAATAATGGGCACTTTATTGACCGCTGGGTTATAAAGAGAAACTTAGTATGCAACTGAGTTGCATAAAAAATATTAGGATATCCATTGAAAAGAGCAGCTGCGATTTAAATATGTTTTATAGTCACTAACCACAAACATTTTCCTAGTTTACAGATCCATTTTTTTTTTTTTTTTTTTGATTGACAACGATGCAAATTCTATGGATTTACACAGAAATTGCCAAGTATGAATATGTCAACCATAGAGTGGCATTATATTGACGTGCCAACGCATTGTTTGTCAATTAGAGGAATGGATGTGTCAATTAGGGAAATGGATGCGGTAACCATATAAAATTTGTGTGACCTATCCAACTATATAAATGGTTCTTTCAACTATGCCTTTTCTTTTTATTATTCAGTAAAAATAAAAACAATATCGTTCAACAGCAGTGTGCATTTATTATTATTCATTTTTTTTAATTTTCCAAAAAGGTTTACAAAACAAAACGAGAAAAAAAAATTTTTATATTTCAAATAATATTGAGGTAAAATAAAGTATAAAATGTAACATTTTGTTCGTTTCACTGGGCAGAAATTAAAATTTATATAGAGATATCAGCTTTTAATCCAATATAGAATATACTGTGATGACTTTTAAAGTGCACAAGCTTTTTTTCTCAAAATTCAAAATAAATTTCTGTATTTTAAACTTTTGAATAATAGAGACGAATGGCAGTGGTGTTTTATCTTGAAAAACATCTTTTGTTGTTTTAAAAATAAATTCACACAAATGCAATACATTTCTCATTATAATGAAACTTCTATATTTTCCCTTTTATAATTCTCGATAAAGAAAATATGCTCTGTGCGATAAATAATAAAAAAATAATAAGAAGATAAAGTGAAAATATTTTTAAAATTTCATTAAAAATGAATAATATAAAAGAAGCTTTTATATTAAAAAAAAATGTAGGTACATTCCAGCTATTTGAAAAATTAATTTTCCAATTCACAATTAATTTTTAAAAAGAAATTAATAAAAATGAATAAAAATAAATAAACTCTCTTTTTATTTCGCTAAATAATTGAAAAATGTTTTAAAAAGTAATTTTCATATTTTCCTTTTGCAAAAAAAAAAAAAGAAATAAAAAATAACTACCATTGAGAAAATAAAAATAAATTTTTCAAGATGAAAAATGAAAATAGTATCGAAATAATGATACAGATTGCGAAACCATGACATGCATTGCAAGCAGATTCGTTGATTCTCAATGATTGCTAGATTACACTTACCCTGTCCACAGAACAAATTCGATTCCTTTTCCGTGCTTCTCTCTCATAGCTTGCGCTGCAGATTCTATCAGTGCCCAAGGCGAATCACAACCATAGCTACCAAATGTGCCAGCGATCTTTCTATATAACCGCGTGTGCTCTCTATCCATATTATTTCTCATCTTCAAACAACCTAAAAAACGAAATAAAGAAAATTACATAAATTAAATTTAGAAAATAAAAAAAAAAATTAGTTCCTAAAGTTTAGAATTCTTTATTGTGTCGTAGAAAAAAAATGTCGAAAATCTATCCACTCAATAATTTACTTTTACATTTTATTTTTTCAATCTACGAATACTCGTCTCTATTTAAAAAAAGAGGATTCTCTTTTTTCTTTATTTGAAAATATTTTAATTGAAAGATTACTTTTAATCTTTCCTTTTTTTGATTGGAATTATTCTTTTAGAAATGAAACAAAATAATAGAAATAATATTTTTTTTTCTTGTTTTGCATGCAGTTTAAAACTAACTGTTTGAAAATAAATATAAAGGACGAAAAATTCTTCCAATTTGTGAATTTTAATAAATACAAGAGAGGAAAGGCAGTGTTTAAAAAAATAGAAAAATTTTAGCGAGTTTGACTCTATAATAAAATGTTAAAATTAATAATACTTAAGTTAAACATAAGAAAATTATGAATTTTTATGTCTTTTTTGTTTGCCTCATAAAATTTGTTTATAAAATTTTAATTTTTAATGAATTTAATTGAAAATTTCAAAGATCATAGATTTTTGAAAAATAATAATTCAAATTCTTCTGAAATTATACTTAAATTTTATAATAGAAATTTAATTAATTATTAAAAATAATGGATTTATTGAAGAATTTTAGTTAAAAAAAACTAAAAAAAATTAAATTTTGGAAAAGTTAGAAATAATTGCAGAAATTCAATTATATACCAAATTAATAAGATTCTTCGCAGAAAGTCAATTATCTTCTAAAATATTTTTAAATTCAAGTCAAAATTTCAATTATCTTTAAAACTAATAAAATTCTTCTCCGAAATTCAATTATTTTTAAAAATTTTAATAAAATTCTTGTCAAAATGTCAATTATTTTCAAAAAATTTCCTCAATCAATGATTTTCAAAATTTACTAATTTTTATAAAATTGTCTAAAAGAATTTAATTATTAAAAAAAAAAAAATTAATAAAATTCTACACAAACCTTTAATTATTTTCATAAAATAATAAAAATTCCACAGAAATTCAATTATTTACAAATTTTTTATAAATTTCTTCGCAATAATTCAATTATTTTCATAAAATAATAAAAATTTTACAGAAATTCAATTACTTACAAAATTTTTTTAAAAAATTTCTTCGCAATCATTCAATTATTTTCATACATAATAAGATTTTTACAGGGATTCAAGTATTTTCGTAAATAATAAAATTCATTTTAGGAATTCAATTATTTTCATAAATAATAAAACTCATTGCAGAATTTCAATTATGCTTAATACAATTTTAATCGAATTCCTCGAAAAATGTAATTATTCTTAAAAATTTTATTTGAAATTCCTCAAAAGAATTCAATTATTTTCAAAAATTTTAATAAAATTCTTAGCAAAATTTCAATTATTCTCAAAAATTTTCCTCAATTAATGATTTTCAAAATTGACTAATTTTATTAAAATAATAGTCAAAAAGAATTCAATTATTTAAAAAAATTTAATAAAATTCTACACAAACCTTTAATTATTTCCATAAAATAATAAAAATTTCACAGGAATTCAATTATTTACAAATTTCTTTATAAATTTTTTCGCAATCATTCAATTATTTTCATAAATAATAAAATTTTTACAGGGATTCAATTATTTTCGTAAATAATAAAATTCTTTTTAGGAATTCAATTATTTTCATAAATAATAAAAGTCATTGCTGGATTTCAATTATTTTTAATAGAATTCCTAGAAAAGTGCCATTACTTTTACAAATTTTATTAAAATTCATCGAAAGAATTGAATTATTTCAAAAATTTGTTAATAAAATTTTTTATGAGAATTCAATTTCATTATTTAAAAAAATATTTTATAAAAGTCTTTTAAAACATTTAATTACTTTTATAAATAATAAAATTTTCACAGGAATTCAATTCAATTATTTAAATCAAATTTAATAAAGTTCTTCGCAAGAATTCAATTATTTTCATAAATAATAAAATTCTTTTCATAAATTCAATTTTTTTTAAATTTGAATAAAATTCGTTGTAAAAATTCAAGTACTTTCTTAAATAATAAAACTCATTGCAGGATTTCAATTATTTTTAATAGAATTCCTCGAGAAATGTAATTATTCTTAAAAATTTTATTAAAATTCGTCTAAAGAATTCAATTATTTAAAAATTTTATTAAAAATTCGCTCTAAAGATTTCAATTATTTAAAAATTTGTTAATAAAATTCTTTATGAGAATTCAATTTTAAGAAATATTCAATTACTTAATAAATTATTTATTTTTATATTGAAATAATTGAATTCTCATAGAAGTTTCGAATAAAAATTGATTAAAATTTAAATCTTAAAATTTTAGATAATAATTGAATACTAGAAGCATTATAGCTTGAAGTTTTACAAAAAAATTGTATTTTGAAAAGGTTTCAATTTAAAATATTTGAAAATCTGAATTTTTCATACTTTTAACTAACGTTTCTGCAGAATTAATTTTTTTCAAAAGTTAAATTCAATATTTTTTGAAATTATTTGAAGTTTTTAATTTATAATATTTATTTAATTGAAGAATTTACGAATAATTGAAATTTTATGTAAAATTGAATTGTTAACAAGTAGATTTAAAAATGATTAAAAAAAACTTTTTCAAAAATTATTCAAAATAATTGATTTAAACTTTTTTTTTTTTTTTTTTTTTTTTTTTTGATCGATATCTTCATGTTTTATAATAATTTTTTATAAATTGTTGAATTTCAAAAATTCAAACGAATTTGAATGTTTTGAGCAATTTAAATTTCTACTGAAAAATAATAATGATTGAATATTTATTTAAAAATAATTATTAAATAAATTTTTAAAAAAAATTTTTTTATCAGTATCTAATCATTTTTAGAGTGAATTGGAATATTTTTTAGAATCATGGAAAAAGTCATAATTTTCTCTGTAAATCAGGGAAAAACAAATTAAAATTTTTGTGTGTCAACCCTGATAATATGAAAAAATTCTGCAAAAGAAGAGGAATTCACAAAAATTAAGAACTTTTTTTTCGCTCTAGTTATTTTTCTCATGAGAAAAAATGTAAATAATATTTGAGTAGCATGTAAAAGAAAGTAGGTATAGTAATAAATTACTTATTTATTTTTTCTAACATATCATAGTAATAGCTAGGTGCAAACTTTGAATTTTATTGGAAAAGTAAATTTTCTTTTTATATGCGTACATTAATCATAAAATATAAAAAATGTCGCTGGAAAATGAAAAAAAGAAAGAAAAAAAAGTTTAAATCACTTCTTGTTCGAAGCGTGTGTATAGTTGAAAGAGCGAAAATAACTGAAAAGCGAGCTTGTCAAACACAAAGCTTACAATTAAAGGAACAGTGCCTGTGAGTAATACGAAGGTAGAAAAAACAGGATACCAAAATTCGTTGTATTGCGAATTTTCTCAGTCGACAATTTTTTTTTACTAAAAAGTATTAAGCAATAAGAATTTTATTTTTATTTATTTATTTATTTATTTATTTATTTACAACAAAAGAGGATTGTTAATTTTAACCCTTTTTTTAATCAATTGAAGTAAATAAACAAAACTCTAAACTAATAAATTTAATAATTAATAGTACAATTAATAATACGATTGAAGGAAATAAACAAAACTCTGAACTAATATATTTAATAATAAATAAATAACTAAAATTACATTATGTATTGAAACGAGTTTATCAACATTTTTCAAAAATTGATATCTCACTGTGAATATTTTTTGATATTTTATGAAAACAGTATTTTCAATTTGAAATATTGTGGTCCACATTATATGAGAGATATATGGTACACGAGAGCAAAAATACTATTAATTAACATGTATAAAAAAATTCTAATCCCTTCAAATCGAAAATTGAAATAAAAAAAAATACATTTATCTTATTATAAAGAAAAGTATTATTGACAATTTTGCAAAAATTACCTTCACTATTTGAGAACATTGGTATAAATTCCAAAATAAAAATAATATTAAAGTTTCTCACAATAACAGATAACTCAATATCTGCGCACGTCTTATGCGATTCTCTCTTCATATCCTTTACGTGCCTTGAAAACGTCGATAAACTCATAAAAAACATAAGGTCATAAATGAAATTGACCAATATGAAACAGTTTTATTGGACCAATTGAGGAGAAGTTATCATATGAAACTTCAATATAGAGGGGTAATAAGTAAATAAATGATATTTTTCTATTGTTATTTTTATAATTCAAATGTAATATGTTTCTTTTTCCCATTGTACGGAAGTCCTCCCCTTTTTATTATTTACAAAACACAAATACTTACTATTTTCTGTATTGCCCTGGAGGGAATATTTGGGATCATAGTGAATGTCACTAATGTGCCAGAAGTATCCTGTAAACAGAAAATAAAAAATAATATGTTAAAATAGATTATCGTTGGAAATTAATTTTTTATGTAGTATTTAGTTTTTAGTGTAATTATTTTTTTCTATTGAAATAAATTAGGGAAATTGGTACATTGGGGGCTTTCTACTTCAAAAAAAATTCCTGCTGTAAATCAGATCAATAAAAAAAGGCAACTAGTGTACCTAACGTCTTCTCTTTTGTCTTTGTTTCTGTTTTTAAAATTTATTTTTTCTAAAATTTTACTCGAAAATTATTGAAATTTAATTGATTTCTAAAAATTACTACTGTATTTCATTCAAAATTATTTCCATGATTTTAAAATCATGGTCTAGAATTTTTAAATAAAATTTTTCGATAAATCAATTATTTTACATAATTACTGACAAAATTCTTTGAGACTCCAATTAATTTCTAAAAATTACTACTGTAACTCATTCAAAATTATTTCCATGATTTTACTTAAATTTTCTGTAATTTTGATCTAAAATTCTTCGATAAATCAATTTTAAAAATAATTTCTGACAAAATTCTTTGAGACTCCAATTTAAAAAAATAAATATAAATTAATTTTGAAGTTAAAATTGAATTTGAATTATTAAAAAAACAGAAAATTCAAATAGTTACAGAAAAATTTGAATTAAAATTTTAAAAAAATTAATTGTACAGAATTGTTAATGAAAAGTATTAAAAATACAGATTTTCAAAGATTTTAATTTTGAAATTAATTTTTTGTACATCAATTATTTTTAATAATTGATCTATGTATTAAAATAATTTATTTAATTTCAAAAGAATTTAAATTAAAATTTCCAAAAAACAAAGTTCATCAAAATTTCTAATTAAATTAATTTTTAATAATATAGGTATATTAAATAATTTATCTAATTTCAAACGAATTTGAATTAAAATTCTTCTCTACATTAAATGTCTTTAATAATAATCAAAAAAATTTTAATTCCAAATCAATTATTTTTAATAATTAAATAATATTTATTAAACAATTTATCTAATTTCAAAGGAATTTGAATTGAAATTTTTGAAAGAACTAAGTTTAACCAAATTACTAATTAACATCATTCAAAATTCAATTACTTTCGAAAATTTCAAATTATAACCTTTTGAAATTCAATTATTTATGAAAATTTTAAATGGTTTTCAAAATCTCTCTCCGTGTAATGTTCAAATTCAAATTTTGTCAGAAATAAAAAAATTTATTTTTTTGTTTTTCTATCATTTCAAATTTTTTAAGGCAAACAAAAAAGAAATTGATGAAGAATTCTTTTTAATATTTTCTAAGCTTTCTTCACAAAAAAATTGTGAATTTTCTTACAAATTCTAATAATTTAATTTTTTCCAGTATTATTAATAAAATTCACTGATTTTTTTCTGAATTCTCTGATTTTTCTGACCTGTGTCAACCATAATTAAATTTAAAACTTAATTTCTTTTTAGAAATTGCAAAAAATATATGAATAGATGTAAATAAAATATGAATAAATATAAAATAAATATGTATGAAAAATATAAAAACCGACTAAAAGTTCATTAAATTCTCACATGGTTGAAAAGTTGAGAACGTTGCTGAATTGGAAGAAAAAAATATTTTTCAAACAGAAAACAATATATTTTTGTTTATAAATTTTTTTTTTTAATTGTTGATAAATTGAATTGTTATAAAAAGTTTTTCGTCAAAAATTTGAATAGAAAAACGTTTTTTCTATTACGTCGGTTGATTATAAACGTTGTGAACTTCACTAAAGGCAATTCTCTTTTTATAAAAAAAAGAGTATAAAATTATGAATAATTCCCTTTTTGTAAAATAAAATTCACTTAAAAAGATTTTTTTTTTGTGATCGTCTTTTGTAGTCTAAAACGGTTTAAAGTAAAACGTCCGGCGAATATTTTTAATGGAAAAAATACCGAATTGTAAAGAAAATTTTCATCTTAATTCTTATAAGAGTATGAATTTAATGTGACTCACCAGTCTCGCCTTGCACTGTGCATAACCATGATAACAGCAGAACATAATCACGAATCATCTTCTCAGGATTTAACCTGCAATGCACAAAAAAAATTATTAATTTATTTATTAATTTTATTTATAATTTATTATAATTTATTTATTATTTATAATTTATAAAGAATTAAAATATAAGATTCATGATATGTAATCGAAATTTCACGTAAAATTGAATGGTAAACAAATTAAGAATTCGAATAGTTCAGAAGTAGCACTTTTAGAAAAATCACTCATATTAAAATTATTTGTAGAATTTGAATTTAATTAAATTAATTGATGTATAATATAAACAAAATCATTTCGGTGATTTTTCTAAAATGATTAAACCTCATGTTTATCAAAATTCAAGCTTGCTATATTAGTTACACATAATTAATTTTGAAATATGATATTTGTAGCAATAAACATTATTTTGCAATATTATTAATGATACATGATTATATTCCTCAATGAAATAGGTTTCATTTAGAAATAAAATCTTAAATGATTACATTACAGAAAATGATTATAATTCCAAATGAAATCGTCTTTTCATATATAATCATTTATCTCTTATTCCAAGTTAATAGGGTATTCATAACATGATTTTCCTTTGGCTTCATAAATTATATTATGAGGGTTCAAGTATAGTCCACAATTTCAGAGAATTTCGGTTACAAGATTAATCAACACTTTTCACCATCTATAATAAAATTTTACTTCCTACGTCAGGTTATGAAGAAAAATTTCTCCACACGTGTCAACCCCCTGTATGTATAAACTTCCCCTCTGATATTCTAATATACATATTTTTCCATTAACAATAATCTCGATAATAATAAAACAGGTATAATTATCGAGTATTTATTCAGAGACACAAAGAGGGGGAACATGATTACAGAGAGAAAAACAGTTAACCATAATATGAAAACTTTATTCGAAATTTAAATGCGATAGTGTAATTATAGCTTGGAATAATTATTTTACCATTATTAAATGAATGACCAACCTTCACGATACAGATCACTTTACAATGATTAATAAAACTTGACCTTAATTTGAATAACTCACATATAATATTTGTTATACACGTATGTATATCGGAACATAATCTCTCTCTTCAATGTTTAATTAATAATAAACAAACACATACTTTGTATAATATGGATTTTATATATACCCACAAAAAGTGGTAAATATTTGTGTAATATTAATATAAAAACAAACAAAAAACAAAAATTAATTAAATTTCGAATTAATTAATTATAAAAATGGGAATAATATTTTCTACCTGTGTATTTTCTTATTTTCCAGTTCAATGAATTCATACTGTTTTTTTTTTTTTTTTTTTTTTTTTTTGTAAAAAAAAATGAAGTTGTTTTAATATATAATCCAGTGAAACAAAGATAAATTTTTACTATTTTTAATTACAAAACATTTTGCATCTTCTTCCTTGTTTTTTCGAGCTCAATATTGTCACAAAAGGGATATATATTATTAAGATGGGTGGCAAGTGTCGCTCGGGGCGACAGAAGGGTTAATTCTACCCTGAATTAAATAGCGTCTCTATGTAACTATATTTCTCTTGCCCAGTAAAACACTTTTGGTTTGGCGCTTGTTTTTTTTCACTCTTTCTCTCTCTCTCTCTCTCTCTCTTTGCGCAAAAACATGAAAAAATCAGTCTTTTTCCAATATTGCCAATAATATTTTACCTTAAATTGAAAACGCAATGTTTTTATAATGTACTAATACTAACGTATACGGGGTGATAAAAAAAAGTTGGGAAATATTCAGTTTTTCTAATTATATCAAATTGAGACAAAAAAAACGTATCAAAATTGCTAAAAAAATTTTTATTCGTTATTTTGACTCTTTTTATTTTTAATTTGGAAAATTCTTGAAATTAAATTTCATGATTATTCGTAAATTCTTCAATTGAATATATATTAGAAAATAAAAACTTGAAATAATTTCAAGAAACATTGAATAAAACTTATCCAAAAAATTAATTCTGCAAAATTGTTAGTTAACAGTATGAAAAATTCAGATTATCAAAGATTTTAATTTGAAACCTATTTTCAAAATTCAATTATTTCTAAAAATTCACGCTATAAAATTTGAATTCTTGTAGATTTTTTTTTTCACAAATTAATTGGCTAAAATTCTCTGCAACAAAATTTATACCACCTTTTTTTCTGTGACAAGAAAGTTATTAAATATAAATAATATTAAAATTTTTATTTTGAAATAAAATGATTAGAATTTTAAATACTTTTATTTAAAAGTTTCAAAAAAAAAAAAAAAAAAAAGATTGAGTTTTAGAAAAGTTACAGTTGTAATTTTTAGAAATAGAATAAGAAAATAAATTAAAAAATGTTTTGGAAATAATTATTAAATTCTATGATAAACAAATAATATCAACATTTTGAAAATAATTCAATTCCTTCAAAGAATTTTAATAAAATTTTCGTTCGTAAAAGAATTCATTTAAAATTCTTTAAAAAATAAATTTAAAATAATTGAATATTGTATAGATATTTAAAATAATTAAATTTCAAAAAAGTATTTTAAATACAATTGAATCGTATGAAAGAATTTTAGAAAAAATTTTGTAAATTTTTTTTTTAATTGTTTCTTAGAATTTTGTGAATTTTTTGAAAAAATTTTTGAGAATAATTTGCTTATTCCAAGTATTGGCGATATGAAATTATTTTTATTGCATACATTTAGGTTGATGAATTTATAATTAAAATTGTTTAATTTCTTTAAATGTAAAGTAAATTTTTTAATATTAAAATATGGTCAATATTTGAGAGTAGATTTTATAAAATTAATCAAGACATCAAAAATTTGCCACTTTTGAAAAAATCACATGTTATCAAAATGTTTTATGTTTTCACTCTTTATTTATTTAAGTAGTAAACGGGTCTATGCCCTTTAGATTTTATGTTCTGCTTAACAGCATGTGACTCTTAGAAATTCAATGGTAATTTTTTCGATCACTTTTCGCTTTAAATGTTTAATAAATTGAGTTGAAATTTTTTATAAGAAAATCTAGAATATAATATAAAGAAAGACAGTAATGTGCAAAAGTTTGAATAATACAAAAATAAATTATAATGCAACACTTTGAAATCGGTATAAAGACGAGAAATTGATTAGAAGTTAGTGACCGTGACAACTGATGATTTTAAAGTTTTTTATTGTATTTTAGACTTTTGTGCAAAATTTCAGCTCAATTTATTAAATATCTATTTTAAGAGAAAAGTGGTCGAGAAAATAAGCATTTAGAACCTAACTAATTTAACATATTATAGCAAAATGTCATTCACTGATTCAAATGGAAATATTTCTAGTAAGAGTTTTGTTAAGGGGACACATAAGTGGAAAAATGACAAAAAAATCGATTTTTTTAAATTTTAGTTTCTAAAAGTAGACTCAATTAGGAATAGAACAAGACTTTTTAAAACCTTTTCTGAAGAGTAGAAAAAATCTGATTACATGATTCTGAATACCATGAGTTTTTAGTATTTTTTCTTTTTTCGTGTCTCCTGTAAAAATTGTTTTTTTCCAATTTTTTAACTTTCGGTACACTTTTCTCCGAATCTACTAAACCGATTTGTAATTTTTTTTTACTTTGTTCAGTAAGATTCGAAGAATACGAATAAGAAGTTTAACATCGTTTTGAGTTGTACAAACGGAGATATGAGTCAATGAATCAGAGAAAATGGGATTTTTATTTTGCTTTGGGTATAAATATTCATAAAAAAAGTTTCTATTGAAGATAACGTCGTATTACTTCTTATTCATATAATTGATTATATTTGTAATCGAATGAAAAAAGGGCGAACGCAATTGGAATAATAGTTTTCGAGAAAAGTGTACCGAAAGTTGACTCTTTTTGCATTGTTTCTAGGTGACTTGGGTGTCCCCTTAAATATACCAGTGAACAGTAGACAGTAGTTATTTTTAATTAATTTCACTTAGTGAATAGTATGGAAATTGAAATCTTATTTTAAACAACACATATTCCAATAAAATAGCTCAATATATTTCAAAACGTTGACGACTTTATTTTTAAATATAAAAGTCGAGATAATTAATGTTAGAATATTTGTGCTTTTTTTAGTGGACGTAAAAAGATAATGCAATAATTGTTTATATATAGAAGGCCGGAGTAACGCTTGAAAAAATTGAATTAAACACTGTATTGAAACTATAAAAAGAATGGTCAATTTAAAGGTCAGTGATATGAAAGAGTATTGGCTTATAAAAATTGCAAAGTATATATTTGGGCTCAACGCCAATGTATAGATATAGTGATAGTGTAGTTGGAGTATAAAGTGTTTGCTTTCTCCGGCGCTAAATCGATGTAACGATTTGTTTCTTTTGAAAATGTTTATATCCCACAGAGAGAGAGAGAGAGAGAGAGAGAATGGTCGAAGTGGAAGTAGGAGTGTACCTCTACAAAATCCAGGCTTTAGTAATCCTTAATGAAACAATGGAATCCCAATGTCGATTTAGGAAGTGTATTTGCGTAAAGTTCACGCCAGCTTCCGGAACGATATTCCTATCCCTCGGTCCTGGTTTTAAGATATTGGCTGGTGCGTGTGGGTGGTGCTTTAGCTTCAGACTAGAAACTATACTCGAATATACAAAATTCAACGCATAGATACTGCTGGCATATCGACACTGCTAAACCAATATCGGTAATATAGTGCCCTCTCGATAGGAAGCGAGTTTAACGTTAACAAACTTATGAAATGCATATAATATCGCACGTCGCTTCAGTGTGCATTTAATGAGAAATAACCGAAATAACATTCCCGAGATACTGGCTCATAGATTTGCTGACGTCTTCAGTTTTGGTATTTATTTTGGAATTTCCAAACTCAACACAACTCGATATATATTATCATGTAAATGGCAAACCTAGAGCTAAAATCTCTTATTTCTTATTTCATGATGATTCTTCTTAAAATGCACAATTTCAACTTCGAATTTTCGGTAAATTTAAAGAATTTAAAGAAATTACTTTATTTACTAATTTTGATGC